GTAAGGGGAACAATCTATCTAAAAAAGCCCAAGAGAAGAAGATAGTGCACCAAAAAAAGAATCCAACCAAATCAAATCCCTCTCTCTATCCCAGAAAACTTGTTGACAACGCTGAAGTATAAAACATTGACTTGCAAGAAGATCAAAAACATACAAGAAAAATATAATGTAATGAAAAAAAATACAAAAAATATGTACAAAACTGTACACCTTAAAGAACATGAAAGATAAAATCGGAAAGGAAGCAAGATGCCTTATAGAAGCCAGAAAAACTCTTTTAGAAATTAAAAAACAAAATAGAATTCAAATGATGCAGTTAAGTAAACAGATAAATGAAAAAATCAGGACACACACAAGAAACAAATTAGAAACAGGATTATTCAATACCACACTAAAAAATCAGGAGGATTAAAGAGAGCCCTAAAAGAGTAAAAGAGAACACTTCATGGATCCTATGTATAAAAAATAAGACGTCTGGGAAAATAGCAACAAAATGGCACGAAATTATAGAAATAGCAACAGAATTCTATTGCAAACTATATGATGATATGGACTACTCAAATACACCTTATCTTCAGGAAGAAAATGAAGAGGCTATACTTCCAATACTAGAAAGCGAAGCAAGAAAAGCCATACTGTCTCAAGGAAAGTATAAGGCTCCCGGAGACGATAGAATAACAAACGAAATTCTGAAAGGTTACCTAGACCACGTTATAGAGGCCATCACAAATCTGTTCAACAATATTCTAACTGAAGAGATAATACCACAACAATGGACATCATCATCTATCATATTACTCCATAAGAAAGGCGACAAAGCAGAAATATAATTACAGACCAATCAGCCTCATCTCCAATCTGTACAAGGTATTTGCAAAGGTAATACTAAACAGAATTAGCTCAGTATTGGACGAAAATCAGCCAAGGGTACAAGCGGGATTCCGGAGTCTTTTTTCAACAATGGATCATATTCATGTCGTAAAACAAGTTATTCAAAAAAGCAATGAGTATGGAAAAAATACAATATGGCATTTGTGGACTTATAATAAGGCGTTCGACTCTTTGAGGCACACATACATCTGTGAAGCTTTGCGATCACAAAGTATATTAGGATAATAAAAAAATTATACAACAAATCAACATCAAAAATTCAGACAGAAATGAAAGGTCCAGCGATAAAATAAAAAAGGAGTACGACAAGGAGACCCCCTTTCACCAAAATTATTTTCGGCGGTATTGGAGCACATATTCAGGAGAATTAATTGGGACAAAATTGGAATAAATATAAATGGCGAAAAGCTTAACCACCTAAGATTCGCAGTAGACCTGATTCTGCTCATTGAAAATCAAGAAGGCGTAGGAATAATATTGACCCAATTAGACAAAGTTAGAAAGACAAAGTAAAATTGTAGGGTTGACTATGAATCTAGTTAAAACAAATGTAATGAAAAATCATATAAAAACACCTATCTTTCTAAATTCTAATGAAATAGAGTATTTCGACGAATATACATATTTAGGACAAATTATTGCACCAAAGAATCAGATGCAGAGGGAAATATATGTCAGGATAAATAAAGCTTGGAAAAGATTCTGGTCCCTCAAAGAAATTATGAAGAACCCACACATATCCCTAAAAGACAAAACTGCAGTGTTCAACTCATGTATACTACCATGTTTAACATATGGAGCACAAACCTGGGCCCTCACTAAGAAGCGGAGTAGAGCACTAGCAGTGTGTCAAAACAGAATGGAAAGAAGCATTCTAAACATCAAGCCACGGGACAAAATCAAACTTACAAATATAAGAAGTAAGACAAAGGTTACAAATGTCGCATACACAGTGAAAAAACTTTAGTGGAAATGGGCAGGCCATATGATAAGACACAGGAGGGAAAAATGGACAAAAAATATTACTGAATGGTACCCTAGACATGAAATGGAAAAAGACGTAAAGAACGTCAGAAATTAAGATGGGAGGATAACATTAAGCAAATAGCCACAACAACGTGGCAAAGAAAAGCTGCAAATAAGGAAATATGGAAAACCCTATGGAAGGCCTATGCCAAAGGGCAAGCTAATAATAATGTTACCGATGTAAAAGATTAAATTGAATTGTTATTATAAAAAATGTTATTATAAAATATAATTTAGTATGTAAAGTAATTTATTAAATTTTGCAATTATAATAATTCTCCAAATGTATTTATTATATTATCAGAAATGAAGGCTATTTGAATTTGAAAGTAGCTAGTAATTTTAATAAAATTAATGCTCTCGAGTATTATATTTATATTTATTATTATATATTTATTATTATATATTTATACTAAATAAAGTCCGTACCTGGCGTCCTGAAATACAGGCGTAAAGCCATGCTTAGGCACCAGTCTCCCACAGTATAATATTGAGGCATATACTATAATATTATGTACAATAATTCTGTATTGTGGTGAGAAAAATAAATAAATTATTATTATTATTTGGGGCATCTATATAGTTTACTCATCTGGTTGGGCTGTATAAATATATAATTGTAAATGAAAATGATAAACATACATGAATATCAACAAAATAAAATAAATACATAAAAAATACATAAATAAATAAAAACCCAACCAGATGGAAGCCCTCGGCAGGGGAGACCAAACGGCCGAGGGTTAGGGGGAAAGGGAAAGAAACCGGCGGACGATGCGGGCGGTATCGAGGAGCACCGCCTTCTGCATTTGAGCTTGGAGCGGTCCGTCACGGAGTCCCAGTCGCCTCAGATGGCCCGAGAGGCTGACTGGGATTAACCCGTTTGCAGAAACGACTACAGGTATAATTTCGGCCGGCAATCCACCCCATATGTCGGTCATCTCGTGAGCCAGGTCCAGATATTTTGGTCGCTTATCTGTTTCGGCTTTCACGAGGTTCTCATCATACGGAATGGTAATGTCGACCAAAAATATCCTTGACTGTGCCCGGTCCATCGGCACAATATCAGGCTTATTTGCAAGAATGGTCCTGTCTGTGATGATGGCCCGGTCCCAGTAGAGCCTGGCGCGGTCATTTTCGAGCACGGCTTATTATTATTATTATATTTATTGTTATATTTTAAATATCTTATTTCTTGTTTCTTAAATGTTCTTAAACAGTATTGTGGTTTTTATGCAAAATGTTAAAAAATTGATTTATTCAATATTTTAATTCAAATAATAAAAAAGCTCTGTTCTATTATGTACTGTATTGTGTGTCAAATTACCATAATAAATATCTCTTATTTTTGGGCGTCTTATATAGAAGTAAAGATTTGGCATTTACCGTATGGAGTGTTGATAATTTCCTTAACACAGTTTTGAGTCTGGGATGTTGCTCTACGTCGTCGGTCTGATTTTTTTAAATAATAAGGGTGATAAACGAGCAAGCAGTCCACTTGGTGGTTATTAGATGCTGTGGTCATCATATCTATATCTATCCTCAATTCAGAATCTCAAATATTGATGCGTTGTATTGTCTACACTCACAATACGAATCGCATTAGCAATTATTTACGCTGGTGTTCTGTTAGCTCGTGGTTGTTACTCGGTCGAGCCAACCCTTTCATACTGCAACTATAATAAATGAGTAGCTACTGGTGATGTCGCGGCCCAAGGACAACTGACACTTTTCACACTTATTTAAATGGACATAGTTTGTAAAAACACAAAATGTTAGCCGATGTTTACTTTAAATACAAAGCCGCAAACAAATAGAAAATCAAAAAAATGGAGATAAATATACATAAAAGCACAGGCAATCGGACAAAAACTGCTTACGATTAAATTATGTATAAGATAAAAAAATCTTGCATAAATACGTTAAAGTTAAAAAGATAAAGTTACAGCCTATATTAGTCCCACTGCTGGGCACAGGCCTCATCTCATTTCTGAGAGGGTTTTAGTGCAAGGAAATGTCCGCCGCACTGCCCCAATGCATGGTGGCGAACTTCACATGTATTTGAAATATTTTTTTCTTATTTCTCAGACACGCAGGTTTCCTCACGATATTTTCCTCCAACGCCGTGCACGTGGTAAATTAGCACTTAAAATTGCAATGAACAATTTCATTGGTGCCGGCGGGAATTGAATCCGGGTTGCCCGCGTACTGTGAAACTTACAGCGAGCGCTAACCATCTCAGCTACCACTACTCGCCTAAATACGTATGTGTGGATATATTTTGAAAAAAAAAATAACACTAGTCGAAAGATAAAAAGAATAATGTCGAGTCTCATATTTTTTTCGTAAACTGTAATTATTACCTCCTATGGACCAAAATATTATATCGTCAGTTTTGTTGTATAAAAGACGTGCATGTACACATTACGATGATAACCACTAGGGATCCCAACGAGTTTGACTATCAAAGTGGCCATTAGCATATCTTGATTAGTCTATGCATAATACGCTTTAGGGATGATGGAAAGACATCTATAGAGTTAAAAATTGATAATTTTCTATGAATATTTAATATGATCTCTTATTTTGTGGAGTTGAAGTTATTGGGACAGACTATACTGATTTAAAACGCTTAAAAATTAAATAAATATATTTTTGGTAATTGAAGTTCTGTAAACTGAAATGTTCCTTATTTATATAGTGAATTAAAAGTAACGTAAAGTAACAGCTAACATATATCTCACTGCTGGGCGTTGAGCTCCTTTAATTTCTTAAAGAGTTTTGGAGCGGGGAGGAGTCTGTCACGCCACGTCATGCAATTTCACGGACTTGTCACACCGTTGTCACACACATGTCAAACCGTTTTTCAACCGTGTACGGAAAAGCGACGTTTTATGTCTTAGTCGAGAATAAATGTAGATGTCTATGGGCAACAGCATACATTTAATATAAGGTCGACCGCAGGCCCGTGACAGCTTAGTTCCATTTTATGCAACTTGGCGCTACCGTCGCAAATTTGTTCTCTGCCTACGGACGCCATTTTGAGCATGTTGACACGCCATATTGTGTTAATGTCAAACCATATTGTCAAAAGTCAAAGTTATCGATATTGATTGATTGGCGCCATTATTTATCCGAATTTTCCTAAGTTATTACAATATTCTGTTTTTGTGCTGCTCGTGTGAATATTGCATATACTAACATAATGGTATACAAAAAGTGTTGTGTTGGTGGTTGCAATACAACACATGAAACGCACCGGCTTTTCAGCTTCCCTAGGAACGATAATTTAAGAAATTTATGGATGTCTTTCATAGTGCCGACAAATCCCCAGCTCATTGCACTTTCCAAAGAACAGTTACTTAACAAACATGTCTGTGAAAAACATTTTGATATATTTCAGTTCGACAATGAAGGTAGAAGACTTCGATACTCTTACCCGTCCTTGCTTACTGACAATGAAATAGCTCATGGTGTGCCTCTAATTGCAACAGGTGAGTTATTTTATTACTTTCAATCATGGTACTTAAGACGTCTCTATACATTCTTGGGCCCAAGTGTTAACAAGATGAAAGTACGTATAATAAAGCGTATATATAAACAATTCATAGCTGAAAATCTGGCAAGATTTGTCAATCTAGGAACTTATTGTAAGGAAGTTATTGTAGAATAAGTAAAAGTGAGATTATCTATTGGCTACACTGTAACAGGTGATTTTTCACTATTATTACACAGTAACAGGCTATTTTTCGCTATAATTACTTCAATATTTAAAAGCAGGATCATTAAATAATCACCAACAAAGCTGTGGTTAATAATGAAACGAAATGGTCAAACGATTAATGAAAGTTAAAACAACAACAACTAAGTGAAGTGAATATTAGGGATTCTGATCGTATAGATGTGCCAACTTAGAAAATTTTGACTTTATTTAACTCGAGTTGAAATTCACGCAACTTGAGTTAGCAGTACGAATCAGAGTAAATGATTTGTTACAAATTACTTTTTTATAAATTTGTTTTTCTATCTAGCTCTTTGATGGGTTGAGATAATTATAATTTCCTTTTTTATATCTATTAAAACTTATTATGTAGGATTGATATGAAAAGGTATATTTAGTATGTATCATATACTTATGTATTAGTCTAGCTTTAAGATGTAGGTACATAAGCTATTACTAGTTTAATTACAAAAGGTTGAAGTTTAAAGTCAAAATATTCTTAAATAAATTCAATATATTTATTGTGAGTTAAGTGTTACATTTGGCGTTAATTTAAAGTATGATGATACTATATTGATCATAATTAATCAAAATTATATAGGGAATTAAATTACACAACTAGCTATAATAAAATTCTAAATAACAAATTGTTTTGGTTGTAGCTAAATACTCTTTGAAACGCAAAGCGCGCACACAACAAACAAATTGCACTTTTACTCTTTTGCTAGCTCACTTGATCCGTTCATGTACAGCAACCCAAACTCAAGTTAGGAAGATTCAACTCGAGTTAACGCATCACTAATCGATCTGAGATCGATTACTTGAATTATTGTTGCAGCTGTTACTTGTTGGAATGTTGATATTTTGTATTTTTTATTATTGTTTCGTAGATAGAGGATTGACTAGATAAAGCATTCGCGTATGCTTTTGAGATAGAAATAGGCGGGAGGTACTTTCACTGGGTTACCAGATATTGTTCCATTTCCCCCGTTATGGGTTTATTTATATTCACAGCACTTACATTCATACAAAAAACTTAATTGTTACCATAAAAAAAGTTCTTATATAATTCAGATGATTAATTAATTTCTCTTGAAAATACATTCTGTGACAAAAACTACTGGCGGAAACGGCGTAAAAACAGAATCATCATTCTGTATTCAACGGCGCATCGACGATTTTACTGGACATTCAATAAACTCTTTGGATTTCGACGATCAGCGACGAGCATTGTCCTGATAACAGCTAAATAATGGTTGACAACCCGCTTTCCAAGCGTTGAAACTATGCCAAATAACTATAATCATGTTTATGTTCAACAGTGGACTTTTGATAGACTGTAAAGATATATATTCTATTTAAATGAAAATATATTGAAATTTAAAAAGAAAAAGAACTAAATTTTGCGTACTTACACAACTTTTAGAAATATTAACAATGTTACATAAAGTAAAACAAATGAAAACACAATTATATATTAAATATAATTCAATAAAATTAAAATAAACAAACGATTATTTATTAATTTTTCAACACATTAATAAACAACAAACTTAACAAAATTTTTGTCTTTTTTCTAGAGCATTCGTTGTAATGCTTGGTTTGAGTAGCCTTAGAATTTCTCAAAAATATGCATTTGTAAACTTGATGTATACCTTTGCATGGCAGAAATTCTTGGGTGCTGGTCATTAGAATCAGATTAGGAGTGTATATATATATATATATTATTTGCCTTGTATACAATATATTTTAATGGTATAAATAATAAGGTACAACTCCTAAACTATACTTAGATAGGTAATACTTATCTCTTATTTCTTAATTTATTTACACATTAATGTTTATAACACCTTTATAAAAGGGATTAAGGGTGGACTAAATGTCCCATTGAGGCATTCCCAGTCAGTTTTACAATTATTATTGCATAATAAATTATTAATTTGTATATTTAGGTCAGGATTTTAAATTACTTATTTATTTATTTTATTTAAATCTTTATTTGCATAAAACATGGTAGTACAGATAAAGTTCCAACATTTGTAAATGAGGATTCATGTTTAATCAATACATCTACAAATAAATATTTTGTCTTTGTCATGCCCCCAATTATTACAAGTCATAATAATACAGAATGTCAGCATTTGAAAATAAAATAAGCAATGCTAGTCAATTTTTAATACATACAGAACAATGTCAAAAATCGTAACTACCAACAAGATCAAACTTATATCACTTATGGAGAAACAACAAGATACAACAAGAAATTATAACATTTAAAAAATTATCTTAATTATATTATAAATTACATAAGTTAAGCATATTTAGTCCACCTAAAACAATGAGGCTTAAAATGTTTTGAGCATACACTGCTAAGTTTTGTTGGTTACCTATAAGCACTACCAGTAGCGATTATCCAACTGTTACTGATAGCTGATTCCTTAGGAAAGTTGTGAAATAATATATTTAAAAGAAATTAATATATTAAATATATAGTACACTTTTATATCAAGGTATTTAACAAAAGAAAAATCAAGTATGTGTATCTGTGCATAAACACAATACCTATAACAATTAAAACAATATCAATTGATTTAATTAAATAGCAAGTATATGTAAATGTAATGATAATATTATTCATACCAAACATTTAAAAAAATTATGTACATATTAAGATTTAGATATTGTTAATTAATACATTTACAGCCTAACAAATGTCCTCCACTGCTGAACATAGACCTCCCACACAGTTTGTCTCCAAATAACTGCAGTTGCCAATTCTCCTGCCAAGCTAGGCAACTATCACAAAACCTATAACTTTTGATACTGACTAATGGTAATGGTAAGTATATTATCATCAAATTTTTTCTACATCATTAATTGAGAATATTATCTTATGTTGTTGTGTTATTGTGTACATTAAGATTAAGACTTATTTATTATTTTATCTATATTTATATCTATTTTTATATTAGCATGACATTTTTTGAATAAAGATTGTAATGTAATTGTTGCTAATCTATAATAGAATGAATGGAATGCAATAAAGTTTTGTGCATCTGATTTCAAGCAATACATATTTTGTGAAATTAAATATACTTTGCCCAATATTTATGTACTTGAATCCAAACATGTTTTCAGCTTGATACTTACATATTATTTGTGAAGTCTATGTAATATAGAAAATGATTGAAGAGTTGTAGGGCAATAAGGACTTTCCTTTAAAGCTGAACATAAAAGTGTATACATATAACATTATGTGATTCATATTTATGGATATAACTACTAATCACAATAAATATTATTATTGAACAATGCGAAAACTTTATTGTACTCGCTGATATCCCTAAAGTTTCTATAATCCTACTAAATCAAAAAGTACACGTTTGTTATGACTTTAAGCTTTCGAATGACCGTTCAAATTAAGGAGCATTATCGTGAAAAATTTACAATTTGGGAATCTAAATATTTGACAAAATACATCACAAAGTTCATTAAAAACATGAAATGTTACACTTTATATTCAAAACAATAGATATTAATCAGTACAAATAGCAAATGTAAGCACAAAACAAACTTACCGATGAAAGGTAATATTATCAATTTTTCGTTGACTGATGCTGTTGCATCCTAAAATGCTACAACTTACCATCTTTTTCACCTTACCTAATAAATAAAATCCACAAAAAACACTAAATTCAATTACCTGTTTGCTTATAATATCAATATTATTCAAAAGAGCTTGACATCGTTAATGTCAAATAAAGGAGGGAAAACAATCAAAAACGCATACCTAGAAAAAGACATGAAATATAGATTTGCTTCTCCCTTACTCTTATGTCTAACTATATACGTGCATTCCTTTCACACGCTGATGACGTCACTGAATGTTTAGTCTATAAGATACTATGTCTATGTATTGTTTTGTAGACAAGTATGCAATTATTTTTTATCTCCCTAGTTAACACAGAAAAATAATCAAAAATAGATATTAAAATGCTCAATTTAATCGAGAATTGATTATTATATATTATAGATATTATGTAATAAACAATGTTGAATAAAAATCATTCTATTCTATAAAAATATCACAATATCGAAAAAGCAGCAATTTATTACAAATTTCCAAACATTGCATGTGGGTAATTTTTTCCAGAATAAGCATTTTGTAGGTTGGCTAACTAAGAACTCTCTTTTTACTCTTTGACTTTATGATTAGTTAGGTACAAATGTTATTGACTCTGCATCGTTATTTGCTATGATTATGTAATGTTTTCAGGATGGGATGTCACAACTGAACATAATTATTGTAAAGTGCAAGATGACGATGATTTCACAGAAGCTGTGGTAGTGATTAGAAAGCCTGGTATGTACAAATATCTTAATTGATGTTAATTGTAAATTATAGTAAACATATTATGATGAACACTGTGATTTGATGTATTTAAATTTCAGTCAGTGGCAAATTTTTCAACATTTTGAATAATGTTTTCAGGAAGTGATGTTACGATTGAACACAATTACTGCAAAGAGCAAAATGATTGTTCCAAATCATCGGTAGAGATTGGATCATCAGGTGTGTACTAATATTCATGTAGTACTAGTTACTAAGTAGCAAAAAAAGCTTTCTAACTATTTCATAAATTTACTAACCGTTCATTTTCTAATAATGTGTTTGCCTTATCATACTGACATCTATAAAAATGCAAAATTGTAACAAATTTCAGATGTTGGAAATTCTCATGAACAGCCTTCATGTTCAAATTTTTCAACTGTTGCAACAGTTGTAGAAAATAAAGGTATGTGAAATTGTATTGGACATAATTTTTTATACATTTATGTAGGGATCAAATCAAAAGAAGTACTTATATGTCGGGTAATAGAAAAAATACTTTAAATGCTTATAAACAGGCTGTGGACTGAAGGTGTCACTGCATACCTAGAACTGCATCAGTTCTAGAGGATAGTTATGTGTATTTGATACTAGACACTAGGATAATATTGCATGCCTTAAGTGCAAAGCACGTAGGTATGTTCTACTAGCGCCTAAAAATCAAGATTTCAACGTTTTGTCGCATGAAATCGTATCTAACAATTATATTTGTTTATTTTTCAGATACATTCCTGGAGCAACCTCCAAGTGCAAGTACCAAAGGCATGGAGATAGATGTTCTCGAAGAACTCGTAGGTTTGTCTGCTTATACTAAACTAACTTTTATTAACAGTAGCTAGATTTAATGTAGACATACAATACAGAGAAGCATACATTGTAAATTTGTTATTTAATATTGAGTTTATGTTTAAGACCATAACATTCATAACTATTGCTTCTTTTCAAGAATTGATTCTAATGTTAATGTAGTGAATCAAATGTTGCCAAAAGGTAGCACATGTACAAAAAAGCAAAAAGGTATTATAAATTCAGTTTATTCTTAGACATAATTAGAAAAAGTTTCAATATCTACCTCAAATCACAATAAGAGTTCTTTGTTCTTCATCTAATCCCAAGATTACAGTTCCACTACACTTCAATGGTTTTATCAACAACTCCTTTACTGTTAAGGTGACATTTCTCTGGAAGTCTTCCCCTGATGACATCCACACTATTTGTTATCTTTTCAAAGTGAATACATTAAAAGTTTAAAATAACAATATATAAATAATAAATTAATATTTTTAAGTGTATCATTCAGTCATAAAATATGAATATAAAACTTAATTATTTTATTTATTTCACTTCAGGTTCGGTGAAGAAAATAGTATCAAGGAAAAGAAAATTGGTTAAAATTTTGACTAATATTGCAACTGAAACTTTAAGTGACTCAGTATCACAAAGACTTGATCAAGCCCAATCCCTATCAAGAAATAAAGACCTTTTGGAAAACTTTTATTTGTTAAACAAACAAGCGCAGACTTTCTTGTTTATGCAATTAAAACAAATTCATAAAAGCAAAATGGCCAGAAGGTTTACCTTAGATGAAAAATTAATAGCGTTGCTCATAATGAAACAAAGCTCCAAAAGTTATAAACTATTAGAAAAAATGTTTGCCTTGCCTAGTAAACGGACATTAAATAGACTTTCTGAGAAGGTTTCAATACAACCAGGACTCAATCCATTAATATTTGAACATATATCAAATACAACCAAAAAATGGGACACTAAACAAAAGCTATGTACAATCGTTTTTGACGAAGTCTCTCTAACACCACATTTAACTTTTAATGAAAAAGATGATATAATTAATGGGTTTGTAGATATAGCTGGAGAGAGAAAACTGAAATATTGTGATCATGCTTTAGTTTTTATGCTAAGAGGAATATGCTCTCCATGGAGACAGAGTGTAGCATTTTATTTCTGTGAAGGCACAGTATCAGCAGCAGAGCTGCAATGCATTTTAAAACAGATTGTGCCCCAAGTGATACGAACTGGGTTAATACCTTTAGGTCTTGTTTGTGACCAAGGGTCCACATTTCGAACAGCAATAAGAAGACTTAGGGAAGATACAATTCGTAGGCGGAATATTCAAGGTGTTCATGATGGTGTGTACCATTATTAATTACTTAAAAACTAGTTCTACTTCATGACAAATATTATAAATTTTAATTATTTTACAGATGGATCGGTTAATATTGCTGATCACGATTTAAGCATATTTTTTGACCCACCTCATCTCTTAAAGGGTTTAAGGAATAATTTTTTAAATAAAGATATAATTTGGGAAGAAAAAACTGCCTCTTGGAAAGACATTGAGTTCATTTTTGATTTGGATAGCAAATTGGGGCACACAAGGGCACTACCAAAGTTAACGGCTCATCATGTTGATCGCCAAAAGATCAAAAAAATGAAGGTCAGCGTAGCTGCTCAAGTATTTAGTGCTCGAACTGCTGCTATGCTCAAATATACAAATGCACTCAGTAAGTAACGATTGCTATATTGATTTGTAGGCTTATTCAATTTATGTATATACTATTGTAAAATTTGACCAGAAGTCTCAATTTGTAAAAAAATCAATTTGTAAAAAAATGGTTATAAAAGTCTGTTGTTGTAACCAAATAAGAAGTGTCTTTTTGGCGAAAGATTTGCAGGTACAACTGTAAAAGAAATTAAATTAAAAAGTACTTTTTTCTTTTCAGATTATTTTCATACTGCAAACTCTGACGCAACAATGGCCACAACAGCAGAAGTTGTTGAATTCTTCGACACACTGTTTGACAGCGTCAATGGCTACCCGGGTGGTGTGCAAAGAGGAAAGTTAAGACGAGCGGTCAAACAAAATTCACAACATCACACTTTTTGGATTGAGGCCATTAATAAAATTAAAAAAATGGTTTTTGTAGACACCAGTAGCAAACATGCTACAAAAGCAGAAAAACCTCGACTTGTGCGAGTGCCATCCCAACAAGGATGGATTGCAACTCTTGAAAGTTTTATAAGGGTCTCCAAATTGTTATTTGAACAGTATAATGTAGAATATTATTATCCGAGGAATATTAGAAAATTTTTTTGGCCGTATAAGAGCTATAAATTATAGAAATGTTAACCCAGATGCAAACACATTTATATATGCCTTTAAATCTTTGATGTTATCTAACATGCTTAGTCCACATTCCAAATTCTCTAACTGTGAAGAGGATAATGGAGAAACATTATTAAATGTTAGTCTTCTTTTTAAAAACCTTCATAATAATAAAGAAAATGACTCGGAAAACACTGTCAGTATTTCGCGAGATCTCCCATCTTCTTCACAAGCAAGTTCAAGAGAAAAGTTGCTGGTGAATGATGTAGTCATGGAAAAAATCAAAGTCCACTGCTCAGCTTACACTGCTGGATACATTTGTCGGAAAATAACGAGAGCGATTCGTTGTAAGGATTGCATCAAAACATATATTAGCAGTACGGAGACAAACATTCACTCTTACATTAAATTTAGAGAGTATAAATTGTTAAAAAATAATAATTTGGCATACCCTAACGAAAAATTCCTTATCTTGTACAGGGATGGTACTCACTTTATTCATAACTATTTGAATTATAGCTGTATTGGAAGTAATATAAAAAGTAATTTGAAAAGAAAAATATTGAGCACTTTGAGTTTTTCCTGCCTAGGGTGTGATAAGCATGCCTTAATTGTAAAAAACTTTTTCACCAATATTTTAATTAGATTACATGGACACAATTGGTGCAACATAAACAATAAAATATTGAAGGGTGATATTGATGAAAAATATGTATCTAAAATGGGTGAACCCCAAAAATTGGCCTTAAAGAAGTATAAAAGTCTTAGGTTAAGAAAAAAATGTTTAAGTAAATAAAATGTTGATGAAGTGACGACCTGGACATGCAGGTGGCTTAGGACCGTGCTTTGTGACATTTCTTGGGGGAGGCCTACGTTTAGCAGTGGACTTGTGAAGCGCTGTAATGATGACGGTGGTTAAATAGAATGTTCGGATTCCTGAAACGTAAACTCTGTTTCAGGTCCCCGCAAACCAAGTATATAACGAGGCGATATTGCGAATAGCTATGTTGTGTGTGCCGGACAGGTACGTGTGGTGCCGGAAGCGGCCCCCACCATTCGAGACACCGCGCGCACGTACCTTCCAAACGAGGCCCACTGACCCGAGTGCTGCACACTAAATAAAGTAGCTCAGGATGTAGATTTATTCTGCTGTTCCTTGGGTGAATTTACCTAAGTGACATTATATTATGTATTATGTTATAATAGTAGATAAGTTGTGTTCTGTCCTTATTAAATTAGATAGTTTTATATGCCTACGCTGTCGTATTAGGTACGCCTGTAAAGACAGAGGTAGAAATAAATAAATAAATAAATAAAGTTACTCCCTAAAAATCTCTGGTCTGTAGCAACCTAGAATATGCTTCTATAGCGCGGAGTCGATTTTATGCTATATTACGCTATTAGCATCTTGAGCATACTTGTTATTTTTAATGTTGATGTCGATATTTGTTTATTTTTCAGATGCTTATCATGGAACAACCTCCAAGTGAAAGTACCAACACCAAGGAGATAAATGTTCTTTTTAAAAGTAATTTATGTTACCATATAACTTAGTTATATGATAATATAGATTACTTTTTAATTACGATTATACTAAACTGTCGTTAACAGTAGCCATACAGAGTTAATACATACAATATAGATGTATACATTATATATTTATTCTTTAATTTTGGGTTTATGTATAAGAGCATAAAATTCACAAATATTGTTTGTTTTCAGGAATAGAAATCTGATGTGAAAAGCTGATGTGGTGAGACAAATGTTGCCAGAAGATACAAAATGTACACATTGGCAAAATGGTATGATAAATTCAGTTTATTCTTATACATAATTAGGCAAAATTTCAACATATCTATTATATCTATATTCAGCATATCTATCCTCAAATCACAATAAGAATTCTTTATTCTTCATCTAATCTAAAGATTACAGTTCCACTACACTTCAATGGTTTTATCAACAACTCCTTTAGTTTAAGGTTACACTAATTTGGAACTCTGTGCCTGAAGACATAGAGAAAGCTCCTGATAATGGATGTATACAATGTTAATATTTATATATTTTTTATTTCTTATTTACTGCATCTATCACTTTATTTTCACCACACCATGGCTGACCGAAAGAAAATGCCAACTGCCATGAAGCGCTATTTTACCTTAATATGAATAATATATGATTTATGATTATCATTCAGTCATAAAATATGAATATTGGACTTTATTTTTATTTATTTCTTTTCAGGTTACGTGGTGAAGAAAATGAAATAAAAGAAGAGATGTTAAAATTTAAAAAAAAGGTTGTAACTTGTAGGTGAACAATCCTCACAAAGACTTGCTTAATGTCCAATCTATTTTAAAACTGTAGAGAACTATTTGAAAACCTTTATTTTATGTTAAACAAATAACTTTCTTATTAATACAATTAAAATAATTTTGTAAAAAAAATGGCCAGGCCAAAAAAGTAACTTGAAAAGTAAAATATTAAGCACTTAAATATGATTCATGTGGTTTAATTTGCTTTATTTAATGAACTATAAATATTGCTCTGTTTCTCGTCAAATTGTACTTATTTATGCACAATGTTATGTACGATTTTCTAATTTGTTTATATAACTTAATGTGCCTTTAATTTAATCCTAAAATTACGTATGTATATGATGTAGGTGTGCTTGAATAAAAAATAAATGTTGATGTATTATAAGTGTTTCATTAAGTAATATTATTATTCCTGTATAATGCACTTCTGTCGATATCGATAAAATAAGAACACCACTAAACATCGATATCGATGATTTGAAGGATGTGTGCTTGCAATCTCTAAGCTATATTTTTTTTTATTACTCATCTGTCAAAATGGGCGACTGCAGCGCCAAAACGCATAGTTGGGAAACTTGACTAAAAGTAACCAAAAGTAACTGTCGTATCTGTAGCTTGCTACATATATATTTATCTATGGTCGACCGTGTGGTCGTTAGTCACCCTAACACCCTTATTCTATATATAAAAAAACTATAATTACAGAATCTTATGAAATATAAAGCTTGATTTTTTAACAAAACAACGCGTATGTATTTGTTACGTATATTCACAGATTGCTCGGAAAGAGCTAAATCAATTTAATGATTTTTTTATTCTAAACATTTCCTGCCACTAGGGCGGTGCCAGAAATGCGGTGTAATGTAAATAATAATATTTGACAGATTTCATAGCGGGGAAGTTAATTTGTTTGAAAAATATAAAGGTTAATGTTTCTTTCTGTAGTATTAGTTATATTTTATATTAATTAGATTAAAAATAAATAAATCAAACCATAGATAATCATAAATATGCAAAAAATTAAAGAGTAAACCACTGACTTATTGTTGTGTGTATTAATATTTTACTTTAAAAACTCACTACTACGTCTGAAAAACTTTTACATAAAATTGACTTCCCAATTAAGTGACATTGTGTAGTAAAAAACTTCACCTCAGTGTCAACCAGTGACATCTGGAAAGAGAGGAAGATTGTAAACCCTCATTCAAGAGCTACCCAAATAAATTTAAATTTCTATACTTAAGGTAAACAACAAAAAAATTAAATTAAGGTACGTTCTAGTTAGATACTTTGAACTTGTGACAAACAATAAAAATTTTTATACAAAGTAAAACCAACTTAAAAACAAATTCCACATTAGCTTCTGAAGTCGGGGGTTCATCCGTAATTCTTCGCTACAATGTCCTAGCACCGATTTCAGCAGTTTTATGTGAAATTTTTTAAATTGTTAGTCTTTGAAGTTACTTTTTATTGAAAGTTTTATTATTATTAATTCTGTGATTATGGATCTAGTTAAAAAAAAATACATTAATTTCACGTTAATGATTAAAATTCGTCATCGATCATTCGGGATCCATGACGAATTTACGGGATCATTTTCTTAAGAACTTTTAGTTAATAAAGCATTGTACTGAGTAATGTCAAAAAATGTCATAATTAACCTTTATATGAAGATGAAAGTAAACTTGGCTTTGCTTCAAATCATAAGAGTCAAAAATATAAATAAATTCAAAAATGTTATCCACTCTTTTAAATTCCATTTTGCTTAAAGCATTCGTAGTTAGTGTTACAAACAAGCAAATATAAGATTTCAATCTCTTAATTGCCCGAGCAATATATTAGTGTGTTGATGTTGATACAATCTTGAATTTATCAAGTATTATTCACTTATAACTTAAGATACAAAAGTAAATATAGTAAAAGTATTTTGAAAATCAAGGCTGTTCAATTTTCGAAAATCATTTGTTAAAAGAAATAAATAGAAACATGATATTTGACAAATTATCAACATCATCATTATTATAGCTTTTTAAAAGTCCATTGCTGTACAAACGCTTTCCCTAAGCAATGGTAAAAAACACGGTCCTTTATTTAAAGGCCATATACAATACTTGCCTCGTGCTAGACTCGAACAGACGACCCGCACCAACGCAATGCATTAAATAGATTAATTAAAATAATATCTCGAGCTACGTTGTGATATTTTAGAGAAAAGTTATTTGCAATAAATTTCTACGAGCAATCTTCTTCGCTAAATAAGTACTAATATTTTGTACCTATTTTTCCGGGTTCGTGAACGAAATCAAAAGATGAGCTCTTTATGATTAAAGTAAATAGCGGTCCCATTTTTAAAAGATAAAAAAGTTAAAGTTACAGCCTATATACGTCCCACTGCTGGGCACATGCCTCTAATCATTTTTAAGCAGGGTTACGGGAAAGCTAGGTTAAAAAAAGTTAGGGGAAGGAAGTGTCCGTCGCGCTGCCCCAATACGTGTTGGCGAACTTCACGTTTTCGAAATATTTTTTTTACTTATTTTTCAGACATGCAGGTTTCTTCACGATGTTTTCCTTCACCGCCGAGCTCGTGGTAAATCAGCACTTAAAATTGCAATGAACAATTTCATTGGTGCCGGTGGGGATCGAACCCGGTTTGCTCGCATACTGTGACATTTTCAGCGAGCGCTAACTATCGGAGTTTCCACGGCCGCCATTTTTAATTATTCTTTATTCAAGATCCCATTTGAAATTAAGTGGCAATGATTTTTAACAAGTTAGCTTAGAAAATACCGTTACACTATAAACTTTACAATTCACAAATGTTCGTAGTCAAAGAATACTGACACCTGACATTGAAAAGTATAAAAGTAGTTTAACATTTTTACCATCATTATCAGTTTTTAATCCATTGCGAGATTAAAACACTTTCAAAAATTGTCTAGCTTGCATAACTTTAGAGATTTGCTGATACTCAGTACGCTGGGTACATAGATTATCTCCTAGGAGGTAAGCTATGGCTGGGAAGGTGGGCTAGTGGAGGCAAAGAGACGACACCTTCGCACCGATGTGACATCCCCATAGTTTATCTGTTAGAATTGAGATCGGCAATTTCTAACATATGTACCGTCATTTGATAGATTATTTTTCGCTTTTATCGTCTCTGGCTTTTAATATCATAACGTCGACGACGGAGTTAACGATGACGATAAAGGTGATATGTATTAGGATTTTGCTAAGTTTATAAAACAAAATATAAAATAAGTTTATTATATTATATAAAATTTGCGAAAAGATATACACATTTCAATTTGGTAAAAAAGTATGAACTAATTTTAATGAAATAAAGACAAATGTAACCTGAACATACACTTTATAATTTTTTTAACGATTCTTATGATATAAATTGGTACTTTATACGTGATACGTTAACAAACAAACAAACATACAGACAGACAGAAAATTCTAAAAATGATAGAAATGTATTTAATTACTTATTTTTAGTACCTCTCAATCACTTTTATTATATAAATCTAAAATGTACAGACATCGGCTATTTACATTTTTATTATATGCATAGATGAAGAAATATTACGCTTCATTTTTTCTATTTTTAATATAAAATGTTAAATTAAATAAAAAAGGATCATTTGTAGATTTTTTTTTCATTGTATGGTACCAAATGTTAAGTTCCCTATATCAGTGTTTAATGAATGTGTAAGTGAATCAGCTAGTGAGTAATAAAAATGACACTTTTCAGATTTTAATAACTCAAGAACTATAGTAAGTTTAATAAGGTTTAGGTTTCTAGGTAACCAAAGGTTCCTCATTAGGTAAGCATAAAGTTTGCGTAAATTTCCTTGTCTAGAGTGCGAGCGGGCGTAAGTGAGTGGGTGCGTGAATGCATGCGTGCGTGCGCGCGCCCGTCGTACCTACACTAACTGCACTAAGATCATGAAATCGTCACGACACTCTGCTGTTATCACTTTGGGGATCGATTATCGCAACTTATAAAATTTTACTTCTACCGATTGTGATAATTATGCACAAAGACTAATTCATCACTGTGTCTGTTTGATGACCACGAAGATATTGTTCAATATTTCCGCCTTGTAGCTCTATGCAATTGCGACATCGGCTTATATTATAATGTTTGAACGCACGCGTTGCAGAACAGATTTTTCAGACTTTATTTTTCAAAGACTAATCGTATACGCATTTCCGCCTCGGTACAGCATATTTTTTGGATAATCGTATCATAGAGATATAATAAGAAAGGGATTGTATGGCATTACAGCGCGACATTGACGCAGTGGTTGAATGGAGTGTAAATTAAGCACCCCGTGTGTACGCGCGCCGTAAGCAGCCGCAAGCTGCAGACGAGCCAGGCAAACAATATGTACGGGGAACGAACAGCAAGTTACATTGTTCAACGACTTATAAACAAGCTACCCCCAGATTTCCGCGATAACTTAAATATAAAAAACATTAAAAAAAAAAACTTAAAATGTACTTTTTGTGTAATTTATAAAAAACTTGAAACAGCGTATATGCGTTTGCTCAGGTCCTAATTAGGCTGTAATGTTTCCTTTTTACAAACTATATTAATTATACTTAATGTAACGTCTACTCTGGTCGCGTCATCACAAACCTTAGTGGTTTTCTGTATGCGACTTTTTAGTATAGTTTTTTTGTAATGCTTTGTAATATGGTAAATAAATTAAAAAAAAAAAAACAAATTGCCCCTTAATAATTCAAAGTGTAATACTCTAACTTTTTCTCGGTCACGCAATCCATTTACAACGACATACCAGCTAGCGGGTACTCCATTAGGACGTGTATATACAAATACAATTCGCGATGTAGGCCTAATTTCATCTTCTATACATATAATAAAAGTGTAAATAGCAGATGTCTGTACATTTTATATTTTTGTAATAAAAGTGATTGAGAGGTACTAAAAATAAGTAATTAAATACATTTCTACCATTTTTAGATTTTTCTGTCTGTCTGTCTGTCTGTCTGTTTGTTTGTTAACGTATCACGTATAAAGTACTAATTTATATCATAAGAATAGTTAAGGAAATTATTAAGTGTATATTCAGGTTACATTTAGTCTTTATTTCATTAAAATTGGTTAATTCCATCAAAAGTTATGACAAATATTCTGAAGTATGGGTACTAACTATAGGTACGAATTTGTTAAATAGTGGCGTTGGATGAGTCATCAAGTACATTTTAAAATTAATATCATATTATAAATCATAATTAAATGATGTAAAATAATGTTCTATAATGATATAATTATATCTAAAACGCAGTAAACAAAAGTATTACATAAAGAACGTAATAAATATATACAAAATATATTAACCTTATTATCTAA